GAGAGAGAGAGAGAGAGAGAGAGAGAGAGAGAGAGAGAGAGAGAGAGAGAGAGAGAGAGTCAGTCGCTGCGTGGAAGGAAGCTTAAAGCTTGTGAACTCTTCTTGAACCGAGATTGGAGTCATATGGGCCATAAATCATTGAGACATACTCTCCGCCATTCACAAACTGATAGCCTATTTCAGTCCAGCTTACCTTAGCCACCGACGAGGGGAGAACAGGCAGACATAATATATATTCACATCGAGCCTCAGCGCGAGCGGCAGGCGAGAAATCTCCCCTCCTTGAAGGCAAAGGAAAAAAAGACCACTGTTTAAAGCTGCGTCGCCCCCCCCCTCCCCAAAGCCACCCCGGCTGGGGAGCCCGAGGGGCAGACCGGCCAGAGGAGCCGTGCGGCGTCCGCTTCAATTCACTCGGCTTTGGAGCGGGGGTGCGCAGGAGGGAGGGGTAGGGGAGCGGAGGAAAAAAATAGCAGACCGAAAGGTGCTGGGAGGCTCGGCTCGCCGAGAATCCAGCTCCGGGCTCCAGCTTGGCCAAGCCGCCACAGTGTGGTTGCCCTATAAGACTGGTACGCCCTACTCTCTGTAACAATGGCCTCTGCTTTTGCACAGGGAAAAAAACCACAGACACACACAGACACAGACACAGACACACACACACACAAGCTCACCCCCCCACCTCTCCCCCTTTAGCAAGCATAGATGCCTGATAAGGAGGGAAGGTGATTGTGGTGATGAGCGCTGGGGGGGGGGGCGAGTACCCCTCCCCCAAATAAGAGTGCAAAGCAAAGAAAGTAGAGAGTGGTCTTCTCTTGTTTTGTTTTAAAAACAGATAAAATTTTTACATCGAGGTCAGAGCGGAAAAGGAGAACAAAATGCAAAGAAAGCTGGTGGAGTTCACAGATTGCGCCCCCCCCCATCCAGGCCTCATACTGGACCATTATGCTAATCCAAGAAGTGGCCTCTGGAGACCTAGTCTGAGGCTGGCCTGGCTGGGCCAGGGGCGCTGGGTGCCCCTCCTGTGCTCATTCACAGTAGGCACACAGAGACTTTTTTTTTTTTTTTTAAGTAGTCTGCTGGCTGAGTCTCAGACCCTCTTGCTGAACCTTCCAGACCCTGGTCCTTCTTTCTTCTACATCCTCCACCCCCAGCCCCCAAATCTCCAAACCCAGTCTCTAGTGGGGGAGGAGGCAAGGCCAGACATTTTTTTCCCCATCCCCTCTTTTTTTTTCTGAGAACAGACAACTAGCGGTAAGTGATGATTAAAAAGCCCAGAACATCTTGCAGGGGGAGTGGGGTTGAAGGGGTGACAAAGGCAAGACCCTGTGGTTCAGCTGCAGCTCCAGACAGCCGGTCAGGAGCATGGCTCTGAGAACTTCAGTGAGTCTTTCCTGTGAAGATTCTCACCTCGGGACTAGCAGAAGGGGCTAGGAGGTGAAAAGGACATTTGTACTCCTGGGAAGATGATAAAAACTTCACAATGGTTTTGTCTTAAATGTACTGGCGGACAGGAGAGAAGATGATGGTGATTATTATTATCACTCAGAGCAAACCTGTTTGTTTCCCTACTCCGACTACGCTCTGCGTGGCAAGATTTATGACTCTTGGCACAAGTAAAGAAAAGAAGGCTACAAAAGCTAAAAGTTTTCTTAGGGTGTGTTTGAGCAGGGCAGGCAAAGGCAAGGAGGAGGCCCGTAGGAGGGAGACAGGAGCCAAGAATGTAGCTGTCTGCAAATTTGGGGCAGGGGGTGGGGAAAGAGCCATTGGCAGTAGAGGCAAGAGACAGAAAAAAGAAGCACAGGTCATTTCTTCAAGCTGGAGTGCTTGCAGGCTGAATTACTGCTGACTCCGGACTTAGGGGATGATACGGAAGGCTGCCGGGGTCTCTCTTCTACGTGGACAGAAGGCTTGGAAACTGGGACTTCGGGTAGACACGTCCAGCCAGGACCGTGAGCAGAATTCCTGGTTGAGACACTTGGTTTTTGCCTTCTCCCATCTGGATACACCAGGACAGGCGATGGGACTGGGGAAAACGAAGGTGAGAGATGGCCCACTATTGTCTCCCCTCCCAGGGAGGATGGCTTGGTCTGGCTCTAGCATTAGTTCTCTTACCCCCTTCCTCACTCAAAAGCTCTTCTCTAGGAGTGAGAGGGTGGGGGGGGCTCCTGGCTTCTAGCACCTCCCCCCAATATTTCTAAGCCCATCAAATCACTTCAAATTGGCTGCAGCAATTGGTTTCCTGGGGCTTGTTACCCAGAGGGAACCTGTGGCCTTCAGCAACAGGAGTCACATACAGAGTCCTAGATAGGATACCTGACATCCTACTGTCTGTCCAGAGTTGGTGACTCCTCAGGGAGGTGGTGGCTGGAAGTAGGAGGTGGGAGTCGAGGGGCTAAGTGGAGAAGCTGGGAGCCATTTTGCTGTTTATTAATAGTCTCAACAATAACAAAAATATGTTGAAGTGTTGGGGCTCAGGCCAGGAGCCTCCTGAAGAACGGTCCCAATACCCAACAACTCTGGTAAAAGATCTAGAGGGTGAGATGCCAAAGAAGTTTAGGTCTGGTGGGTCTGCAGCTCAGGCCAAGAGTGCTTCCAGAGGCTTCGGGGAACTTAGACAACCAACTCTTTTTCTCTAGTTCCCTAAAATAAAAAGTTTTTTAAAAATGTGTTTCAGACTCTCGAGCTCACCTAAAAGTTTCCACCACTGGCTAGGGACGGTTATTATGAAACTGGGAGGAGTAGCTGGTTACTTTCGGGACTGCACAATTCTGCCTAAAGGAATAACCAAAGAGCTTAGGTGTCACCTAGACACTTTGGGGGGCCAGAGAGGAGCTACTGCAGGGGCCCGGATTACACTGAGGGGGTGGGGGTGGAAACTGCTCCAGAGTGAGCAAAAGACCCTCTCTTCCCAAGCCTTCTTCATCCCTCGTGG